GGATATGCAGAGTAACTATACATAAAAGACATAAAATAATACCCACAAACCATATATCACCATGGGGAACAAGCAAATCTTGGTTGGTGTAGCTACCTACAAAGCAACAAGAGAACTAATACTGCCATCAATATTAATATTTATAATATATATGTGATAGGGATCTTTTAAAATAAAGTTACACATATATATTTTTAAAATGTTAGTTAGCTATTTGAGTGTACATTAATTTTGCACATTCTTAATATAATTAAGAAGCAAATTTATATTTTTTCATCAAATATTTGGCTTCGCTACTGCAATATGTTATGTAAGGATATATATATATATATCTGTTATATATACCCTTAATAGATTTGTAACCTTAAAAACAAGACAGGTTATTTATTTATTATGATAAACAAAAATGATTTAATGGTGTAAAAATTTCCTTTGTCGGTAGTGTATATATAAAGTACTTAAACATTTCTTTTATTATCTTCCAATAATAATAACTTTCAGGGGAGTGGATTCAAAATATGATGTTTATGAGTTTTAACGATTTCTTTCTTGCAACTAAACATCCGACTCCACTAGGGGGTTCATCTGAATCTCCTTCGGCGAAAAATAGTATTATTTATATATAGGTTAAAATATTTTTTTAGATATATATAGTAGATGTCGAATCCCCTTCGGCTATTTCGTGTGTCTATTTTTTTAGATTTTGAATCTCCTTGTTGAAAATTCTGGCTCCGCCACTGATCCGACTCATTCATGCTACTGGTTAGCAACTTAATTATTATACTAAAGTATTTAGGGATTTCTCAACTTATATACAAAATATAAAATAAAAATTATTGAGTTTTGTCAAACTCGTAAAATAAACTGTGTATTCATCCACCTCGGTGTGTTGTCCATTAGTTTTTTTCTTTTTTGGTTATCAGTGGGAAATTGGGATAAAAAAAAGGAAGAATTTACTCTCTTTCAAGTTCAAGAAAGAGATTTAAGACGACCAGCTCTACAACTTTTAGTGCCATATCTTCCAAAATCAAGTTGTGTACCGTCCGGTTTGCAACCCCTACTACATCTGCCTTTATGATATTTACTATATTTCGTACGTTGACTGGTATCAGGCTCTAAAAGAGTTTTCTTTGAGCGAGCGGTGTTAGAGGCTAACTAGTTAAACAGGAAATTCAAATGAAAGAAGGTTCGGTATCTGGTTTCCACATTAGTGTTAGACTATTTGAAGTCGCGCAGCATAAGGTCCTATTCAGGATCCCTACTAAAGATTTTGTCATATTCAAAGCTCGAACTCAAAACCTTTAAGTAAGAAAACAACAACCTTATCTACTGCACCACGACTTTCGTTAAAATTATTATGAACATTTTGCTACATTTTCTACCGTAAGAAAAAAAGGAGGAGAATACTAGACATAAGTTTTTGTTTTGGTATTTTTTTTTAAAGAAGAGACGTGAATAAAAGTGCAGCCACAAAGAAATACATGCACTTTGTTACGTAAAGTTAAAAAGGAGACTATCATATATAGGGACAGCCATATCTTTGAAATATCTTTAGCAGGCGGAGCTAGGTGAAGTTTGTGGGTTCGGACAAACTCAGTAGTTTTTTTATAAGTTTTATATTTGTATTAGAAAATTAAATAAATATAGATTTATATTAACTTGTGAACCTCTAATAAAATTGATTGACAGTTTAATGGTAAGGAAGGGATCATAGAAATGCTCTTCACACTAGAGTTGTAGGTTTGAACCCCCTCTCTTTTATAAAAGAAAATTTAGAACCCCCAAAACTAATTATTTGCTATATATATGGTGCCTAAAATCTTGAATTTCTGTTGTATTTATATCATGCGTTTTAATCTCTGTCTGAACTCTTAAATAAATATCAAATATTAGGAGGGTTCTTGAGTTATATATATAATGTCTAAAGTTCAGTATAAATATCTAAATAAAGGATGTAAATATACTACTTCTTACATCTCAATTTGTTTCTCTTATTATTTGAACAATTAAATAATATTTTCTTTGATTAAAATTTTTTCTATAATTTTAAAAAAATTTGAATTGATAATTATGATGACTTATAGTATTTTTTACGCAGTTTCTAAATATATAAATTCTATTGCACATAAAATAAAAATTCAATGTCTAAAATTACAATTCACAACAAACATTAGTTAGTTTGACCTTCAAACTCCGAATCAAGTCAAACAACTTGAAACAAAAGAAATATATGATTATATAATCTAATAGTTAAAAGTGTGTTTCTATCCTTTCGCTTATTATTCAAGTTTTTATACGAAATGATCATATAATTTAGCATGATATTATAAAATCTCAGAGTACTCAAAAAAGCAAAAAAAATATATCTATTTCCAGAATTTTTTCCAAAGATTTGAATATTGACTAACAAAGGAATTAAACCAAATCGAAAATGCAGGAAAGAAAAATGATCAAATTAAAACTCAGTTTAATTAGTTCCATGTATAAAATTAAAATAAGAAAAAAGGACATGAACTACGTGTTTTTGTCACTTAGTTATATAATTGAAAAAGGTATTTCTCGTGCTGCATACTTTTATTATAATTGAGTGGCATTGCCTACTTATAAATATTCTTATGTCCCACATAAATATTTTCTTTGAATATAACGTGACTGATACTGAAATAGTGTAATAAGGTCCCCCTACCTTAATTATATGCCACGTGCATTAAACTTCATTTTAAATGCAATTAATTACATAGTTTTAGAGTCCTAATTCTTTTTAAACTTTGCTTTATATTGTCATCAATGATCAATCTCCTGTTTAACAAGGAAATAAATAAGCTAAGATATTTAATTAAATTAATCTTATCTCTTACTCAAATGATTACATGTCTTTTTGGAGTACTAGTGAATTTTAGAGTGGTGATTATCTCATTTATAAATTTAAGTGGTCAGAAAAAACACAAATATTTTGCTTAATTATATTATATGTTTTTAACACAATCATTCATGTACGAACTTGATTTTGTTTTCTAAGTTAAAGACGTAAAAATTCTTATTTGAGAATGTGTGAAGGTGAGATCCGAACTCAGGACCAATATTCAGTGCTTTTGATATCATATTGAATTACGTAATTATTTTATTTTAAAAAATAAATGATTAAATAAAAAATATTTTTATTTAATTAATTATACATCTCCAATAATAAAAACAATATAATTGAATTTTTTTATGTGTTCTTATTTTATAAAGTGACAAATTAAAAGGATCGGATAGAGTCCTTCCTAGTTCCAACACAGTGACTAAATTGATCATTTTGTGCAAACTTTTAGAAAAATTAAAAGACTTTATGGTCTTATATGTTTCTTCTTTTCATGACAAACATCTTATTATCCGATGGTTAATTTCGCACTAATAATTTTTTTTATGCGCGCGATTAAATATTTTTTTTATTTCATATTAATTATCATAATTTTTTTAAGAGAAATTATATGAATTTTTATTAATATTTTAAAATATACTTTTTCATGATCATATTGTTATGAGAAAAAATGACAACCTAAAATAATATTTTTCGTATAATTTATAAATTGAACTTATAATTTGAGCACATAAAAGTCGTGTAAATGAATGTCAAAAAGAAACAGCGGCAATGTCTTAAGAATTGATAACTTACATTCCAGAATTTGTGGTTGTATATTTTGTCTCTTATTAACAAGAGATAACGTTAATCGAAGTTCCTAACTCTCATTTAGGAGACAAAATTAAAAGAATATTAAAAAATTAAACAAATTAGTAAGAGGACAAACAATAAGGAATCTCATAATTCAATTAACTTAATCACACACGTGGCACATTTTCCAACAGTCATCACAGTTTGACTATAGTCTATAATGTGTGTTTGGCATTGATCATGCCAAAATTTCCATGTTTTGACTGATCAAATATATTTTGAAATTTATTTTCACTAAAAAACCAAGTTCATTAAAAAAAATTTAGAAAATAAATTCTCTAGTTAAAATAGAAAAAAAAAAAGTTTTATAAATGATTCCCCCTTCACTATAATAAAAGAGATAATTTATGAATAGTGATTTTTTTGTGGCAATATTTATTGTCGGTTGCTGAAGTCTTTAGCTATATTACATAAAGTGTTAGTTATAAATATTTAAATTTATTATTGATGCTAAATATAATATAATGACAATTATATTATTATTCCTAATGAGTCGTTTGGTCTATGTGAGAGATAATTTATGAATAGTAATATTTTTTGCCGCAATATTTGTTGTCGGTTGCTGAAGTCTTTAGCTATATTTACATCAAATGTTAGTTATAAATATTCAAATTTATTATTAATGCTAAATACAATATAATGATAATTATATTATTATTATTATCCCTAATGAGTCGTTGGGCCTACGTGAGATATAAAGTATAAAATATCATAAATAAAGTGCAAAATTATTTTCTCCTGTATTGTTGAAGATATCAGACAATCCTGTGATTATTTATTCCACCATTGATACTTAGTGATGAAATCAGTTACTCCCTCTGTTCACTTTTAATTTTTATGTTGCACTTTTCGAAAGTCAATTAGACTAATTTTTAAAGTTAAATTAGATTACATTAATTCGTAATTTAAACAAAAAAATAGATATTCAAAAACTATACGAAAATTACTATAAATCCCAATTTTCTGCATATCAATATGATGAAAAAATACATCATAAAATGTTAGTCAAATTATTATCGTTTGACACTAAAAAATAAAACCATGACAAGTAAAACTAAACGGCAATAGTATCTCATATATACATGATAAAATAAGTTATCGGATAAAGCATGAAACAGAGTTAGATAAATGAAAGGACGACGTAGTAAACAAAATATACTGCCTCTACCAATGTGCAACAGCCACATGTTATATTTATCTGTCTCCTTTTTTACAAACATTACATCCAAAAATTAAAAATAAAAAAAATCATAGCATCTATAAATATCTCGTCTCCTCTCAGTATCTTCCTATCTTACGTTAGCCAAAAAGTTCCCAAAAAAAAAAACACTATACATATCTAGAGAGAGAAATATTAGAAAAAAAATAAAAAAATGCTTCTCTTCTTAAAATCAATAAGTTTCAGATCTTTGAATCATCAAGATTTCAAGAACAATAACAGCAGCTGCAAGGAATTAACAACAACGTCGTCATCATCGTTGTCATCATCATCGTGTATATCTTTAACAGTATGGAGAAAATCACTTATATTTAGCTGTAAAGGATTTACAGTTATTGGATCCGATGGAAATTTAGTGTATAGAGTTGATAATTATTCTGGTAGACGTGACCAAACTATTTTAATGGATGCTTCTGGCAAACCCATTCTTACTATATGTCGGCATAAGGTAATTTTACTAGTCGTATTTTACTTTTCAAGAGTTAAAATTGTATATTTATTTTTTAAAATATAATTTCAAGTATTTTAATTTTAAAGGTAAAAGGGTCTGAAAAATACTTCAATTTTGGCCGAAATTGTTGTTACGATATCAATATTTATGGAGGACCTTTTACCCCTGCACTATTTAATAGTGTATTTTAAAGGTATATATGTACTCACATGGACACATTACTATTTAAAATGATGCAATATTTATGATGTCCACGTAGACACATATATACCTTTAAAATACACTATTAATTAATAGTACAGGGGTAAAAGGTCATTTCCAAAGTTTGGTAACGTAATAACAATTTCGACCAAAATTGAAGTATTTTTCAGACCTTTTTCCCTATAATATTGAATGATTCTAATTAAAGGAAGTTTAAAAGATATTTGTATATTTTTTTTGTGTGATTTGCGGCTATACTTTAAAATGCGTGTAATAATCTTCTTTTTTCTTTCTGCATATGACTAACGTTACAAGGTATTGACCATAAGATAAGAACTATTTTTATTTTTATTAAGTGTGACAAATATCAACAACCATTAATTAGGTAGACTAATTCTATCTTAGTAAATAACAACTCTATCTTGCCAACTTGATACAATCTTAACCTCTTGTTTGACCATAGAGTTAAAGTTGAAATTTGAAAATTTAAGTTTCTGAAATTGCGTTTGAAGTCTAGATATGTATTTTACTAATTGGAACTTTAAATGTCTAGTTAAAGCTAAGTCTAGACATTACTTGTTCCCAACCAAACGACAATTTAAATCAGTAAGTCATCTAAAAGAGAACTATTATAAAAGATGTACCAATTTTTGTGAGTTTGATAAAAAAAAAAGAAAAAAGACAAGTATAGTGTAACAATTGTCATATCTTATAATTTCTTAATACCTTGTTTACTTTTTTTATATTTTGAATTTCATTAGTAAAAATTCTAACTCCGTCTTTTTTTGGGATGATTTAGCAGAAACTAAGGATAGTAGACAACAATTGGTTCATATATGAAGGAGAAGTACTTGGAGATCATGATTACAACACCAACAACAAGAGATCATCATCAAGAAAGAAGCCTATATTTTGTGTAAAGAAACAAATGAAGATTTTACATAGTAATATTAATGTACTTGCCCATGTTTATTATCATGGAACATCATCAGACAAGACATATTCTTATATTATTGAAGGGTCATATGCAAACAGAACATGTAAAGTGTTGGATGCAAAATCAAGAAATGTTGTGGCAGAAATTAGGAAGAAACAAGCAGTAATTGGTGGTGTTACTTTTGGATTAGAAGTTTTTGTATTAGTTGTAATGCCAGGATTTGACTCTGGTTTTGCTATGGCTATGGTGTTGTTGTTAGACCAAATGTTCTCCTAAGTGTTGTTTCAATATATGTTGATTAATTTTATGTAGTGATCACTCATTTGAGGAAATGTGATGTTTTCTCTTTATTATATGATCTTGGATAATATATCGTGATCGTTTGATATATGAGATAGGTAGCTTTTATGGTTGAATTATGAGCAAGTCGACAATAGATTTGTTATTTTATTAAAATGATATCAAGATCAAACTCAATCATATTTTTCTTTTATCTAATGTTAAATCCTCATATTAAAGGAAGTTATGTTACAGATGTCCATACAAATTAACTAGACGCAGACACGTGTTAATTATGTTGTCCTACATTAATTAAGAAAATTAAGATGCAACGGGTGTTAAGTGTCCTATATTAATTAAGAAAATTAAGATGTAAGGAATATTATTTTCAGGATCAAGATCTTAGACATAGAGTTAAACTCAAAATCTATCTTTTTGACATGTGCTTTGATGTAGATCTAGTTTTTACTATTACTGCTACTACCACCACTATTTTTACCATTCTTTGGTGAGAAGTGATACAAAGTTAGCTAGTGTTTGACTATAGATTTTGGGAGTAAATTTTATCTTTAAATGATCATGAATTTGATTAGATATTTTAAAATTTTGATCTTCAAATACTTTTAAGTTCTCAAAAATTAGCTCAGATTCGTTTTCACTACAACAAAAACAACTTTTAGCAGTAATAAATATAGATATTAATAAAGAGTGCTAAAGTCTTTACCGGCATTAGAACCAATGTCGCTAAAGGCTTTAGGAACATAATTACATCGATCTTTCTTTTTTTTTAGCAGAAACTAAGGATAGTAGACAATAATTGGTTCATATATGAAGGAGAAGTACTTGGAGATCATAATTACAAGGCATCATCATTAAGAAAGAAGCCTATATTTTGTGTAAAGAAACAAATGAAGATTTTACATAGTAATATTAATGTACTTGCCCATGTTTATTATCATGGAACATCATCAGACAAGACATATTCTTATATTATTGAAGGGTCATATGCAAACAGAACATGTAAAGTGTTGGATGCAAAATCAAGAAATGTTGTGGCAGAAATTAGGAAGAAACAAGCAGTAATTGGTGGTGTTACTTTTGGATTAGAAGTTTTTGTATTAGTTGTAATGCCAGGATTTGACTCTGGTTTTGCTATGGCTATGGTGTTGTTGTTAGACCAAATGTTCTCCTAAGTGTTGTTTCAATATATGTTGATTAATTTTATGTAGTGATCACTCATTTGAGGAAATGTGATGTTTTCTCTTTATTATATGATCTTGGATAATATATCGTGATCGTTTGATATATGAGATAGGTAGCTTTTATGGTTGAATTATGAGCAAGTCGACAATAGATTTGTTATTTTATTAAAATGATATCAAGATCAAACTCAATCATATTTTTCTTTTATCTAATGTTAAATCCTCATATTAAAGGAAGTTATGTTACAGATGTCCATACAAATTAACTAGACGCAGACACGTGTTAATTATGTTGTCCTACATTAATTAAGAAAATTAAGATGCAACGGGTGTTAAGTGTCCTATATTAATTAAGAAAATTAAGATGTAAGGAATATTATTTTCAGGATCAAGATCTTAGACATAGAGTTAAACTCAAAATCTATCTTTTTTTGACATGTGCTTTGATGTCGATCTAGTTTTTACTATTACTGCTACTACCACCACTATATTTACCATTCTTTGGTGAGAAGTGATACAAAGTTAGCTAGTGTTTCACTATAGATTTTGGGAGTAAATTTTAAATTTTATCTTTAAATGATCATAAAATTTGATTAGATATTTTAAAATTTTGATCTTCAAATACTTTTAAGTTCTCAAAAATTAGCTCAGATCCGTTTTCACAACAACAAAAACAACTTTTAGCAGTAATAAATATAGATATTAATAAAGAGTGCTAAAGTCTTTACCGGCATTAGAACCAATGTTGCTAAAGACTTTAGGGACACATACAAAGAGTGTTAATTGCCGCTAAAAATACATATTTATGATCATTTTTAATGTGGTGTTTTGAGACTTCACGTCTTCAGCTCACAGAACTTCTACTTTTCCCAATAAACTGCATGTCCAAATACAACTCAAATTCTAAGAATCACAGCTTCAAAAATTCATTTTTTTCTTCAAAAATTTCAATGTCAAAATCTATGGCCGAAACGAAAGCTAACGTGTACATATATTTTTCAAAGTTCAATGTGTACCCATACTTGCTATATAGAGATCAAATCAAAGTTGTCTAGTTTCATATTAATTGTATGTTTTCCTTTTGCTCAGAAAGACAAATTCAAGGACGGTGGCTGAATTGAAAACTCTAAACAATAAAATGGAAATCAAACTAATCAATTTCTGATGTATTAATCATTTTTCTTCTTCTTTATCCAAATTAGTAGAGTGATTAGGTACTAATTAGCAGAGAGCCGTAGATGAAGTAAATTTAACAATTTACAATGACCCTTTGGTACGGAATTGTCTTTATTAGGGAGCGCTTTATTTCCGTGGAATTTTTCAGCGCGAATTCAAATTTAGTCGGGCTCCGATGTGGGTACCAAATACCAGATGAAAAATAATTAAAAAAAAACAATTTACAATGACATTACAGTTTTCTTTCTTTTTTGGAAAATAAGTGTAAAAAAAGTTATAATAATTTAATTTTATATTTTCAATTATCATTTTCTTTAAAAAAAAATTAAAAGTGAAATGGAGATGCGGGGTATCGATCCCCGTACCTCTCGCATGCTAAGCGAGCGCTCTACCATCTGAGCTACATCCCCTTTTGTTTACTAAAATATGGAAATCACAATCCAATTTGAAGGTTATTTATTCGAAGACCAAAGTCCAGATGTGATAAAATTAGTTATGTTGAGATTAATTATGATGAGACTAATTTTTAATGAATGTTTGGTTTATTCATACTAAAAATAATATGAATTGTATAATTTCTAAAAGCAAGTTATTTATTTACAAAAATATCATTCGTAAGTGTAAAATGTGCAAAAAAAAAATATATAAATATTGTTTGAAGAGATATTTTTGTCATTTTAACAATTTTATCTGGGGATAAGTTATTCAAGGATTATTGTTCTACCCAGAGGCAGAAATAATTTATCCCCACACTAATTATTAATCATAAGATAAGTTATCCCAAACTTTATAGCCAAACAGAAAAAGTGGCCAATACTATTTCGTTTTATGCATCACACCAACTATGTCTTTAAAATTGTAATTCCAACTAGCAAGATTAGTAGATGATTTAAGGTTTGTCTATTTATTGTGTCGATAAGTACGACACTAGTTTAGAAAATACTACCTTATTTGGTTTCCCATATCAATTCACTACTATTGTATTCTTCCTCTATCTTATTATTGATGTTATTTTGATTATATCTATTGTTTTTTATTGTCAATACTTTACCCTTTTTTAGTTATTTTCAGCATACCTTTTCACATAGTACGTACGTGTGGAAAAAAAAAACAGAGGAATGGAGATGCGGGGTATCGATCCCCGTACCTCTCGCATGCTAAGCGAGCGCTCTACCATCTGAGCTACATCCCCATGGTGTCAATCATTTTAGATATATGTATATATCGTTCTTACAAGAGATCTATACTTTTTACACATAAAAATCTAAAAAAAACTTTTCTTTTATTTATTTTGTAAGAGAGCAAAAAATCTCAATTTACTAATCATTGAGATTATGTTCAACATATACTTAAGAAAATGTGAATATTGGAAGGCTTTGTTTATTGAACAAAAACTTGAATACTAATACATTCTTTACTAAGATGTTTTAATATTGTGTAATGTATATTTTTACTTTATTAAATTATTAATTTTGTTAAATTAATTTGATAAAAATATTCAACTAAATATTTTATCGAGAAGTACGAGAAATGCTAAGCAACTACATCAAGTTGCTTGTTATGGAGCGTGAGCGGAGATCCAAAAATATCACTTCCTCCAATTCAATTTATGTGAAAAATTAAAAAACCATTTAAATAATATTTGAAATTTAAAATTTGAATAATAAAAAATCATACAAATGGTAATTCTTCTCGTGTTAATATTTTTAAAAAGTAAAATTAAGATATTAATCAAAATTTATATAGTTAAATCTAAAAAAAACAAAAAATATAGTATGTGAAAGAGGAATAGTACTTTGCATGGACAGTCGAGGCGAGAAAGTACTCTTGTTCGTTCCGAATTCCAACAAACCCCAATTTTCCTCTTTCATCTCATCCAAAATACTTCATTCAATTCAATGTATTTGCCGGTTTTTTTTTATAACAGAATCGCCATGGAAGTTGATCAATTGAGCAGCAAGATGACCCGAATGGTAGAGTCCGACCCGAATGCTGCACCCTAAACGGACCATCGTCATCAGTTGACCAGCCGGTGACCGGAGTTGATGAGATTTTTTCTGATAAAAGGTAAAGCTTATTACTCCTTTTTCCAACAGAATCACATGGACTCTAAGAAATTAGTAGTTAATGTCAAGCAAGGGGAAAAACTTGAATATGATGAGTGTAATACGAGTAAAAACTGCAATCCTAAAGATAAAATAAGCTTAATTGGAATACGAAGGCAAAAGAATGGGAGATATGCTGCTGTGATTACTGATCGGATTAGGCATAAGAAAGTATGGTTAGGCACTTTTGACACTGTTGAAGAGGCTTCACAAGCTTATTTCTCTAAGAAATCTGAGTTTGAGAATGAGAAATTAAGCAATCAAGGAAATAAGAAGAGTAAAAGAAAACGCGAAACGAGAAGTATTGTTGAGGTTTACAAGAGAGGGAAATATAATTCTGAGAAATCAGAGGAATTAGTCAATGTAAAGCAAGGCAATGAAAATGTGAATTGTGAAGTATTTCAGATCGAATCAGCTGGTGAATCAGAAATTGATGTTGTGATGTCCAATTCATTTAATGGAGGAACCGAGCAAAGGATTGATTCTCATGAAATAGGCACTGTTGAAGAAGCTTTTCGTATAGCTAAAGAGGGATCCAAAGTGTTTATCTTGGGTTTAATGGCTAATGTTTGTGGCATAAAATCATTTGATGACTGTAGCAATACTACAAGTTGCAATCCTAAAGTTAAGGTAAGCTTGATTGGAACCCGAAGG